TTGAACAAAAAAGATAGCATAGCTATGAGTCGTAACCTCGGAGGAGGGACAGTTATGGTGTAAGTCGCATTTTGTTTCCACGGCAAAATTGCAATTTGTTTTATTACAACAAAAATGAATGCAAGAAATTACTTAGATCTTTTAGAAGATGTTTTAATAGAGCTTAATGAAAGTTTACCTTCTGAGAACTGGATTTTCCAACAAGATAATGCGACAATTCACACGACACGAAGTGTAAAAAAAGTGGTTCCAGGAAAAAAATGTAAAATATTGGGATTGGTCATCATGTAAACCTGACTTGAAAATTTATGGGGAATATTGGCGCAAACTATATATGGAAAATTCTCGACAGTATCATACAATATAAGAACTTAAAACATCTATCCAACGAGCATGGAACAGTATTTCAAAGGTTTGTTTGGAAAATCTTATAAAAAGTATGAAAAACCGAATCTTCGAATTAATTAGTGTAAAAGGTGGTAACACATATTGTTAAAAACTAAACTAATTAAAAAATTATTATCTAGAACGAAAATTATAAAGCATTACTTTTGATGGAACTAAAGAAATTTTGCCTGTTTTTTCGAAATATTTCTAACTTTTAAGTTTCACAAAATAAATTAATTATTATTTCCAATTAAAATATTATTGGCTTATTTATTTATTTCTAATAATTTCTGTAATAAAAAAATAAAAAAAGCAAATACTTTGTGAAATTATTTCTATCTAAAAATAGTAAGTGGAACTATAGTAATAGATGTTTTAGAGTTTTGTGCCATATACACTGGAATCAGCTTTTGGTAACTGTTTCATGTTTGTTAAACTGAATACGTCATGATTTCTAGGAACAATTATTATATTTTGATTTGTAACGTATAGAAAAACTATAATCCAAATTAATAATTCAAATGAATTACCTTCATGTTTTATATTTATTGACACAGACATTTTAAAATCAATTATTCTTTTAATTGGACGTTGTCCACAATTTAGGTACGTGAGTAAAAATTTCAATATTACACTGTTATATATCATTGGAAAGAGGATAAATACAGTATTTTAAAGGTGAAAAAATTATCAAAATTGAACAATTCAAAATATGATATATTAAAGTATTTAAGTACCGATTTTTCGATATATGGATTTGTTGAAGAAACTGTGGACACAATTAAGTTTTTAACTTAAAAACACATAACTTTATCAGTTCTAATCAAAATATACATCAAATATACAACAAATCATCACCTTTACCATGAGAAATTAAACACTTTCTTCAGAAAATAAATCTTTTTTCAAGACATAAATAGTTCAAATATACAAAAACGTTGTTATAAACTTATATTAAATCCGCCAAAGTATATGAGAGGCGTATGTTAATGATGGAGGTGGGTGTGGTGGTGATGGTTTGATACATCCTTATATCAAAAATAAATTGTTTTCGTAAATAATTTTATCTTTATAAAAATGAATTTAATTAGTTTACAATATAAAATTATGCTATACAAATATTTACGTATACAAGTGGTGTTTACATTGACTTATGGGAGGAGCGTAAGCCTCCCCCCCCCCCCCCTAATCTTAAAAGAAAAAGAAAGATAAAATAACACAACTGATATTTCCTATAGTCCCAAAACAAATCTTTTTTTCTGTATAAAAAAGGTTCTTTAAATTAATACCAGACAACCACCAAATATGGAAGGTGAATGAAAAATTCATGGTAAATGTGTTGATGATGTTTTAACGCACCCTAATATCAAACAAATTTTTCAATTATAAATTATCTGATTGGTTATTTAAAGTACAACAACAAAGAAGTAAAAAATGATTTCATTTCAAAATTCTATTAAATTGAAAACAATATTGGAAACCTTTAATCTATGTCATTATTTTCCATTTTTTAATAAAAATTTTATTTAATTTAAATTAAATATAAAAAATGTTTAATTAACCCCTCTGTCTTCCACGACCATTTCGGGCGAATGAAAATTAGGTACCAAAAGTACGACAAAAAATAGACACCTTGCAATAAAATTTTTTTCAATGAAATTTGGTAGAAGCATAGATAAATGAAAAACTTAAAAAAGTAGTATAGAAAAAAAAACAGCATATCTTCAACATTAATTTCATGCCATTAGTACAACAAAGTTTTAGACATCAAAAGACTCAATAATAGAGCCATCTAGTAAAATAATAAATATAACAGTAATAAAGTTTTACTATTCTAGTTTCTAAAAATAACCTATGTTGATATTAAATTCCAAATAGTTTTCCAACTAAACACGTCTTCACTATGCTAACTAAAAAAAAATCTAAAAAACGTGGCACAGTTTTTTAGCACAAAAGTCGGTTCCGTAAAACGCGGATTTCCATGTACCTATACAATACCATAATAATTCAGTTGAAATCTCAACTGATTTATCAAAAAAGAAACGATTGACTATTTTTTTTTTAATTTTTTTTGTATAACACCTTCTTGCGATTGGAATAAAGACATAAATGCCAGGGATACATTGAGAGTGTTTACATTCTACAGCATATTTGACAAACTGACGATTGAAATGAAAAGACGAAGTAAAGTTTACAAAGATATTTCAGCACAGTTTTTATTCACCAATAACCTACAGTTAAGCGAAGAAAAGTATTTCAAAGGCTGTCATACCTTATTCAGTTTTTACCAGGAAGATCTCAGCATGGACATCGTTGGAGAACTACAGCAGTTTCATAAGTACCTCAGCTCAAAGTTTCAGGGGAACAAAATTATTTTCACATATGCTGAACAGTATGATGTTATTGATCAAAATAAACTTCGTAGTGTTTTTCCAAAGCTGGATATCGACTTTGCATTTTCCTTACCTTTATGCTAACAAATGTTTCTGCTAAGCGATCCTTTTCACAGCTTAAGAGACTCAAAAATCCATGTAGAACAACAATGAAGCAGGAGAGATTGGACTCTCTGTCTCTACTCTGCATCGAGGCAGATTGCTTACTTGAGTTGACTTTGACAATATAATCAACGATTTTGTCTGATTTATAAAAATTATAACAGTTACTAGTAGTGTAGGTACAGTTAATAGTATGCAGTATAGATTAAAGAATATAGTATAGAGTAAAGTATGTACTATAGATTATAGCATGTGTATATAATATTGTAATAAATATTAATGTTGCCCCGTAACTTACACTTACCTGCTATTAGTTGGGCCCCTTAATATGTTAATCCGGCCCTGGGTGTAAGGTGTTAGTTTATGTAAATAAACTGGCAATTGTTTTTATTTTTTTGCAGGGCTTCTTTACAGTAAATCTTACCATTATGGTAAGATTTACTGTAAAGAAACCATTATGACTCTCACAGGCTCAAATACTGTTCATATATATATATATTTATATATATATATATATATTTATATATATATATATATATATTTATATATATATATATATATATATATATATATATATATATATATATATATATATATATATATATATATATATATATATATATATATATATATATATATATATATATATATATATATCAGGGGCGGATCCAGCATTTTTTTGTGGTTGAGATAACTAACTTCCTGACATGCAAACACTAAACATTTATATGTTTAAACTTATGTCAAATAAGGATGCTATGAGCCTGGAAACAAAAGAGCCCCAAAAATTTGGCCACAACTACCCCAAATGTGAGAGCAACAAGTTTACAATTTATTTTTTAAATAATTCTGAACTAAAGTTATATTCATCGATTTAAAAATGCACAATATAATCTTTTAACATTCAAAAGTAATGACCATTCAAAATCTGTAACCCCTCAAATTGAGAAGGATTTAAATTTCATATGGTCGTAATTTTTGGAAGTAAGAGATTATACTATAAAATTTAAAATTTATCGGTGAATATAATTTTAGTTGAAAATCGTAAAAAAAGTTAGTTATCTCACCTAACAAAAAAAGCTGGGTCGGATATATATATATATATATATATATATATATATCCGACCCAGCTATATAGCATATGGGTGATTTATTCTTACCATGATTAGATCGAGGAGTTAAAAATAAAAGAATGGCAACATTGTTTCTATCCATTAGAGGATCAAGCAATTCAATACTGTGAAAAGAAAAACGATTCAATTTAAAAAAGATGGCACAACCATCACGTTTGTCACCTGAACGCCTTTTGTATATACCATCATACCCTATAAGAATAATTCTTTGTTTAAAACGTTAACTTTCTGTAGAACTCTTCGAAATTTTTTTTTACTTTTGCCATGAACCAGTTGCTATTAGAAAATAATATTGAAAAATTACAATGGCATGTATTTACGCAGTTTAAAATTGTGTCACATATCTATCATATGTGAACTAAAGCAAAAAATACTTACAAGTGAAATATATTGTTATGAAATTTGTTGAAATTATATGAAATATATTGTTATGAAAATAACTTAACCTTTTGAGGAACTATTTTTAGTAGGTTGTAAAAAGTTAACTTAGTTGATTGCAATTTAAGTAAATAATTATTTTTAATGTTTTTGTTTATTATAAATAATTGACTTGAAGTTCGGGAAGACTATAAAAAAAAGAATTGCTTGTATTCCAGGTACGGCAATTCTGAACATTTTTTTAGACTTGTTTCTCTGAGATGCTAGGAAAGTATGGTCATTAGATGTAAGAGATAAATAAGAAAAAAGAGTTTTTTATTAATAGTATTTTTGGAAGAAATAATAAAATTAGACATATGTACGAGATATAAGATGTTAGACATATAATTAGAGATATAAGATGTTAGTACTTTTTACGAGCCTATTAAAATCTTTCCACAAGTCCTTAAAAACAAAACTTATGAAACAAAATATAAATTTTAATAATCTAAAAATAAATGGATCGTAGCTTTGAACAAAACTTTTTTCCGTCAATTTCTCTTCTAGACAAGAAGAAAAAATTAATTAAATTTATTTCTAAAATTATATAAAAATAAACAACTTTTTATATATTTTATAGCTAAAATGTATTTAGTCATGAAATAAAATTACAAAAAAGCATAAGAAAACTTTATTTTTTTTTTTTAAACTTACAACCTCTTTAATTTTTTATTAAAAAACTTAAAACCTAAATATTTTAATAATCTAATAGCAGTGTTAACATTAAAAAATAATCAAAACAATAAAAATTATAAAAATTGTTAGTGAAGAATAAATGAAGACAATAACATCAAATGGTCAGATGATATAAAACCATTAGGTAGCTGTCCCATTGACTTTAAATCAGATTCTGAAAGTAAACTTAATACACCCGACAAACACAAGTTTTTTTGAACTGAATTATTTGATGAACTTGAGTTCTTCGTCTCTGAGTTGGAAGAATAAAATATAAAATCGACTGTAGAACAAGCACGATTGTGGCTTGTGGTCACTTCTTTAGCTCCATCAGGTAAATAGTGCATATAACAACTGTTTAAACAAAAGTCATGTGATAAAACCCCTGAAAATTCACCTGACGGCTTCGTTTGTTTATTCTGTATATGATTATCAACTATAGGAGCAACATTTTTCTCTCCTAAATGGAATTCATTAAGGCTGATGCCATGTTTCCACTTACAGTTGCTGGTAAGTCTTAGTGCATCTGGAAATATGGGATCTTTTACAATATTATTAGTATTAAACCCATATGAGGACTCATTTTGACCGGATAAAGCAGCTTTATTCATATTATTGTAACATAACTGACCTTTGGTGATAAAATGGTAGAGAGGACTAAATGGTAAAGAATTAAAATCCCCACAAATAACCATAGGGAAACATGAACCAAACTTGGCAGATTTTTTTAAACGATCAATTTCAGCAAAAATATAGCTAATCTGAGCAAGCTTTATGTCACCCCGATTTTTGTTAAACAGTAAATGAGTATTACCAATGCATATGGGTGATTTATTCTTACCATGATTAGATCGAGGAGTTAAAAATAAAAGAATGGCAACATTGTTTCTATCCATTAGAGGAATATTTGGGTGATAAAAATCAAGCAATTCAATACTGTGAAAAGAAAAACGATTCAATTTAAAAAAGGTGGCACAACCATCACGTTTGTCACCTGAACGCCTTTTGTATATACCATCATACCCTATAAGAATAAAAAACAAAAATTGTCAACTTTGATAATTTTTACAAAAAATTATTAAAAAAAAAGAAGAACAATAAAAAACAGCATCAAATAAAACAAAATATGAAGTTAAGAAGTATAAAATCATTCCATATCAAATACCGAAATCTTTGAGACGTGGATAAAACCAGTTGTAGTAGTGTTCTTCTTCAACCTCTTGCAAGCAAAGAACCTGAATACAAAATAATTAATAACTTTTGCATAAACATATCTAAAATTATTACTATTATTATTATTATTATTATATATATATATAATATATAATATATAATATATAATATATATATATATATATATATATATATATATATATATATATATATATATATATATATATATATATATATATATATATATATATATACATATATACATATATATATGAGGAGTGCTGCTAGATTGACTGTTAAATAGATAGAAAATGAGAAGAGTGCTGGTACATCGACTGACATATAAGTGGAACATGTGAAGAGAGCTTTAACGATACGTAACGATATTTCCCTTAAAATATACAATATTTGCCAAAACAAAAAACAATTTTCTGTAAAAAAATCGCCGATTTCATTAAAAAATAAAAGAATCGTTTAAGTAGGTAACGTTTTTTCCAAAATGAACATTATTTTTGAAATTTTTATATAATTTCGGTTCATTTGAGTACCAGGTTGACACAATTTTTAAAAACTTTTTTTTTTGAAAATATTAGGGACCCATTAAATATTCAAGGATCTTGAGGGACCCTTTAAATTATTTTTTATTGAAAAAAAATTTAAACTTAGTGTTTTTGTATTAGATAGAACACATTTAGGGGGTGAGAGCAGATTATTTTTAAAAAAGTTGTTTTTTGGGACACCCTAATATATATATATATATATATATATATATATATATATATATATATATATATATATATATATATATATATATATATATATATAAACATATATATAAACATATATATAAAAATGTTTTGGGTAAATAAACACTTTTTTCTATATATTATTTACCCGTGCCCACTGGGTATCTAGTGGGCACGGGATCTAAAAAAGACTTTAAAAGACCTCTTTGTAAGTCCCGTGCCCACAGGGTAAAACATGCAATCAAAAATTTCAAAAAAAAAAAATGAAAAATAGTTCAACTAATGCAAAAACTTCAATATTTATTTTAATCTTAGGAACTTGTAAATTGTAAAAGTGCTTTTTATTTTAATATTTTTCATTATTTCAAACAAATAGGCAAACAATTACGCTAATCAACAACATCAACTTTTGCAGTGTCTTTGACAATTTTTTCCCTACTAATGCCCACTCTCAAATCAAATTTTTAACTGTATTTATTGTTTTGCCAGTCTTACGCAAATATCCTTTGTCAAATCCCCCAAATTTTTCAATGGGATGGAACTGTGTGAAAATTGATTGATTCAGCTTTTTGGTATGAATTGTCTCTCAAACTGTACCACTCTTCTTAGAATAATAATAAGAAGCAAGATTAGGCCAGAATCAACAGGGGACCTCGAGACTTCAATAAAATTGCAAAAGTCTAGCTTGCAAGTCTTCTTTGATGTAAATATCCGAGTTTAAAGTTGACGATGTGACAAAAGCTCGTGATCTCAAACCACAGCTGCATATTGCTTGCCAAAATTTAATCTTTAACAAACTGTAAAACTTTATACCTTTAGGTTTGTTCTCTTTTCGATAAGCCGGGACTTTGATTGTCAAATGCTAATTGCTGCTTTCTTATTCTTAAAGCCACTCTTTCTTCCAGATCTATTTGCTCATTTGATAGATAGAGAGCTCTTGTATTGTTTTATGACCATATAAACAGTAGTTTTGCTAGATTCAGATTCTTTAGCGATTGAAAGTAACAATGCAGAAGGATTTTGTAGATAGTTTTGCAGAATTTTTTTTGTTTTTCTAAATGTTTCAATGACATTTTAGTTAAGAGAAACATTTTGACTTGTTTGTTGATGTTTTTAATACTGTAATTACTTAATGAAATTATGCGATTTAACAATCTCATGTTTTAGTATAATTTAAAAGATAAGAATAACGTCTGATCATTATATCGCGTATCAAATATTTAAAATCATAGTATTAGTATAAAAATACAATATAAAGCAATTTATGCAATACTGTCATGTTTTCATAAATAATTTACTTTTTTTTAAAAAAAAAACATACATTTTAATCATTTAAAAAAAAGACACAATAGCTGAGAGCCGCTCAATTTTTGCGGCTCTGGCTCATGTATATATATATATATATATATATATATATATATATATATATATATATATATATATATATATATATATATATATATATATATATATATATATATATATATATATCATAAAAGAAGCAAAATTATATAAAAATTTTAAAAATAAACACTATTTTATAAAAAAACATCAAAAAAAAAAAAAATTATAAACAATAAATCTTGTTAAATTCCCTATTTTTTGTTTTTAGTTAAACATCATTTTTTTGTTCACTAAAATTTAAAATAATATTTTTTCATTTAAAATGATAATTATTTTTGAAGTTTTTATATAATTTTGCTTCTTTTGAGACCCAACAAGACATACTTTTGAAAAAAGTATGTCTTTTTTTTTTTTAAATATATTTTCTAATTTATTTACTTCAAGATACAATAAATAAAATAAAACAAACAAGCTGTGATACACATTACAGTGTATAGAGTTTAACAACAGTAGATGTCAGACTGTAACAGCTTTTCACAGTTTTTCATATAATTGCGATAAAGGGTTTTGAATGTATTTAAATTTTTTGCATCCACAACATCTTGTATTAAACAGTTTCATTTGTCCAATATTTTATTAAAAAAAAAAATTTTTGTCGACTGTTTGTTATTTTATATATATGTTTATTTATATATATACATATATATATATATATATATATATATATATATATATATATATATATATATATATATATATATATATATATATATATATATATATATATATATATATATATATATATTGATAACATTGATAAAAATTTCTTTACCATTTGAAAAAGTTAGAGAATAATATGACGTAAAAAGAATGAAAACTCATTTTATTTTTTATTTTTTTTTTTAAAAAAATAAAAAATAAAATGAGTTTTCATTTTTTTAAAACCTCTTTATGATTGATAAGATCACAAATTGTTATAATTTATTACTAAATGAATACATTTAATATAGTAACAACAACAAATAACTCTAAACATATGAAAAAGAATTATAAAATAACTTAAACATTAACAACAATACTTAATAATAATACACTTACATCTGCATCTGCATAGATAATTTCTTTTAATAAATTATGCTTTCGATAATTCCAATCAAGAAGCCAAGGACTGTTAATGCTTTGAGCATTTCTGTATAGATAAGAATGCTCCTTCAAGAGGCAATCTGCTAGAACATTGTAAGAAGCTACTGTGAATTCAAAATTTACATCAGGAGATTTAGAAAGATGTTCAGGTAGAGGTCTTTTTACCCAATTACGTCCAACACAACGAAAATTTCTGAACAATGGCTTACTACACATTTAATTTTTATTGTATTATAGAATAATATTCCTACAGATTCATAAAGATTGTTCCTTTTTTAGAATGTCGAAGTAATATTTAGAATTCACCAGGGAAAAGTTAAACCGTAACGCGATTTTTAATCGATGTAGTTTTGTAAAAAAAAATCGATGTTGTAATACTTTTCGATTAAGTACAAATTTATTTTATAAAAAAGCGTCGTTATCAATGACGTATTTTTTACAATTAACGTAATTAAGGTTAGTTGTAAATAAACAATTTACTTAAGAAGGAAAAAAACTGATTTAAAATTTGTATTTATATCTATTTGAAACCCTATATCTTTAAATATTTGGATTATGTTCTCAAGCTATTTCAAATAATTCTCACTATACTTATATGAAAAATTTATAATTATATCCAGGGCCGCCGAGAGCGGATCCAAAACTTAAAGAATTTCTAAATAAACGAACGGAAATTATATCTAAGTGTCTTTACGAAAAAATAATTTTATTAAAAAATTACAAAGCTCGTTGCAAACCCTAACAATTAGTTTTAATGCATCTCTAATTAGAGATTTAATAAGCTTAATAAGCTCTAATTAGAGATTTAATAAGGTCGTGTAATATACTTCATAACTAAATTAACGTCTTTATATTTTTATCTTATTTTATATATAATTTTTATATCTATATATATTTTTGTATGTTATATATATATATATATATATATATATATATATATATATATATATATATATATATATATATATATATATATATATGTATATATACATATATATATATATATATATATATATATATATATATATATATATATATATATATATATATATATATATAGTATATATACATATATATATATATATATATATATATATATATATATATATATATATATATATATATATATATATATATATATATATATATATATATATATATATATATATATATATATATATATATATATATATATACAGGGCCGGCGAGTAGGTGTCACGTGGGGGGGGGGGGTGCCATTACAACTTTTGCCGACTAAAAAAAAAAAAAGGTCCTCGTTTTCCAAAATTTGCCGACTATCATTACGACATTTGCCGACTGTCTAACCTATATCGAAAGGGTCGACATTTGCCGACTAACTAGTCTAAAAAAGGTCCGATTTGCCGACTAAGGGTCCAGTTTGCCGACTAAAAATCATTGATGGGGGGTGTCACACCTCCCCCCACACCCCCTATCGCGCCGGCCTTGTATATATATATATATATATATATATATATATATATATATATATATATATATATATATATATATATATATATATATATATATATATATATATATATATATATATATATATATATATATATATATATATATATATGTATGTATATATATATACTTTTTTTGTTGTTGTTGTTGCTGTTTATTACAATATTTATGATACAGATACAAATAATATAAAAAAAGAAAAGGCAACAAATAAGTCAAGATATCGTTAAGTAATTAAGAATAAAAAATAATTATAAAGAACGCGGATACTCAATGAAGACCATCAGGTCTTGTCACAGAGAAACCGCTATTGAACGTTTTTTTTTTTTTTCAATTTTTAATTTTTTTTTTTCCAATGTTTTTATTCTTTATATTTATTTATTTTTGTTCAATTTCTTTTTATTACAAAATTAAATTTAATAATAAAAGTATATAAAGTTCGTAATATAATATTATAAATAAACATACAATATTACAGTATAAGAGTTCTAAAACGTAAAAACTAAAACATGTTAAATAATTCATTAAAATAAAACATGTTAAATAATTGCTTGTTGATAAAAAATAAATAAATAAAAAAGAATGTACATTAAATATATATATATATACTAATATAGATAAGGAATTTTCAAAAATTTAAAATTAGATAAGTATATTTTCAATTGGAAAATTGAGTTTTTTAAGGTTTTGTTTATAAGAATCAAAATTAAATTCTTGAGAAAAATCTTTAGAAGTATTTAGAACTATACTATTCCATAAAAATGGTCCGCGAATTGAAATAAAAAATTTTCCAAAATTAGTTTGATAAAAAGGTTGTTGAATTAAGTTATCGTTCCTTAGAATATATTTATTTCTATCTTTATGTAAATACAAGTCGGCCTTATATATATATATATATATATATATATATATATATATATATATATATATATATATATATATATATATATATATATATATATATATATATATATATATATATATATATATATATATTGTAGTAAATATATAAATATTTTTTGGTAAATAGTGCTCAATACCAAATTAGAGTAGGGTAGAGCGGGGCTAGCTGAGCAATCGTTACAGATCTCATGAACGTTGCGTCGGATTAACATAATTTTTTCACTATTTGAAAGATAATTTAACCTACTAAAAATTTGTTAAGAAAAAAGTAAACTTTTTGATTTTTTTTTAAAAGGTAATGTCTAAAGTTTGCGGAGCTGCTCAACCTGCCCCAACGGGTAAGTTAAGCAATAGTGTAGGGTAAGTCAAGCAACTAACAAATTAATGAATATGCATTGTACGAAACTTGGGTAAATCATCAATAAAACTTTTACTAACAGTAAGCGCCTGCTTAATTGATAAACTTTTTATTTTATACACTTTAATGACGTAAATATGAAAGAAGAGAAAAAATTAAATATTAAGATAATAAAATATAAAAATATCATTTTATACAATTATATTGAACTTTGAAGCCCGGTTTAAAAATTACTCATTTTAAAAATATATATATAAATAATATATTTTAAATTATTTTTTATCAAAGTTGTTTCTTTGTGTTCAAAAGTTCAGTTTTATTTATTTTTTTTCAAAGCTGTTCAACTTACCCCTACTAGAACAGGTGACACATTAGTTAGGTTTTAAAGAGAACAGTAAAACTTATGAAAAAACAGGTACTTTTAATTGAAAGTCCAATAAATTTTTAAAATATCTACATTTAAGTGATGTCAGATAAAAAAAATTTATAAGCATTTAAGCAAGAAATAACAACAATTTTTTTTTTTACTTTTTGGTATCAAATCGAAAAAGTGCCTTACTCAACTACTTTGCAGCAATCTTTTTTTGATTGCGCAATGTGTTAATATTCTAGCTCTCTAACTTTCATTCATTGTCATTTGATGCTTAGTGCTTAACTACATTAGTTATATTAATATACTTTTTGCACAGATGTTATTATAACTCAGTTTATTTACAGATGTTGTTGAACAGATGCTATTAGACATAGCAAAAACTGATGTTGTTACCCTGACCCATAACTATATAGCTTAAAAAAAGTTTTTATAATATAATAATGATTAATATGATAAATTAATGTTGACTTATAATATTATATTTATAAAATATATTAATTACTTTAAAAAAAAGATGAACTTTTTCATTACTTTTCCAATTGCAGGAAGATTGAATCTTAAAAAAAATATTCAAGAATTAATAAATAATTAATAATGTAATTATTTTTATAACTATAATATATTAGTTATTAAAATATTGTTTTTAATAAAATACTATAAAATAACCACTTAAGATATTTATATTACCTTACACTTGGATACTTGAGATATTTATATTACCTTACACTTATTACTTGGATATTTATAATACACTTAAGATATTTATGTTACCTTTTTTAATTGACACATTAACGTTTAGAAATTTTTTTTTTAAAAATTATAAGAGTATAATGATACTTTATCCAAGCACTCAATTTGTTTGCAACAACATTTCTCATTATAATGATACTTTATCCAAGCACTCAACTTGTTTGCAAGAACATTTCTCATTATAATGATACTTTATCCAAGAACTCAACTTGTTTGCAAGAACATTTCTCATTATAATGATACTTTATCCAAGCACTCAACTTGTTTGCAAGAACATTTCTCAATATAATGATACTTTATCCAAGCACTCAACTTGTTTGCAAGAACATTTCTCAATAGAACATACAAAGTTTTTTGTTTTGTTTTTTACCTAAAAAATTTGTGAAAAAAAAATTTAAAAATATTAATATAAACCACAATATATGCATCTTTCAATCCTATAACTTCTTGGTAGTGAGTAGTACTTTTCCGATAATGTAACGCAAATTTGAATCTATGCCAACCCATTTATGAAAAAAGGGTGGATTGCTGTCTTACAAAAATCTTCTGCTTACCCCTAAAGCTTTCACTCAGGGAGTTTTTTAGGTGCACTAGCTCTAGCCTAAACCAAATTAGGGTGTATTTTAATTCAGAGTTATAAGGCAGAGAGACACTGCCAGATTACATGTTTCTGAAGGTGATGATGATGATCCTGACCTGTTATATATATATATATATATATATATATATATATATATATATATATATATATATATATATATATATATATATAATATATATATATATATATATATATATATATATATATATATATATATATATATATATATATATATATATATATATGTATATATATATATATATATATATATATATATATATATATATATATATATATATATATATATATATATATATATATATATATATATATATATATATATATATATATATATATATATATATATATATATATATATATATATATATATATATATATATATTAGGGTGTCCCAAAACGACTCGAATTTTTTTATTTTTGAACTATTTCTAGATTTTCAATCAGTTTCATATGTATTTTTATCTATTAAAAGCAAAAAAAAAAAAAAAAAAATTTACATATTTGACCCCCGCTCTTTTTTTTGTCTTTTTTTTTCCTAAAAAAATGACACAAAGGACTAAAATTGTTTTTGATAATAAATTATGTTTGCGTATTTTATAATTTTCTTGTGTAGTTTTGTTCGATAAAACTTAATCAATAGTTATTTTCAAAAAAAAAATCATATTTGACCCTCATTCTCCCCCCCCCTTATAACCCCTTTAATGTGTTTTTGCCCTAAAACAATCCTTAACATACTCCTTTTATATATTTATCATTTATATCCAATATAATTAACTATTATTATAATTTCAAATAGTTTTGTAATAAATAAAAATGAAAATTTATATAAAAATAAATTTTCACCTGGTTTATGACCCCCCCCCCCCCATCCT